GAATGGGTTCTCATCAGGACACCTATTAAATGATGTGAAGCAAAAATAGACAGGACTAAAAGTACATTTAATTACATAAATGTGTCCATAAAAAAATCCATGCTGCTCATACAATGTGCATTTACTATATTTAACTTAATCCAACACATATTACACATAAGAGTGAATCTTCTGCAAAGGGATGAGGAAGCAGAACAAGGAGCTGTTCCTGTGTCTAATCTGAACCTGTTCTGCATAATCTTCTCTCATTAAAATTGCAGATGGGTGCTTTTGTAACATAAGGACTCCAAATGTATCAGGGCAACCTCTGCTACTTTATCAGGTTTTAAGGTTACGTTTGTTAAGTCAATGAACAACCAAGCCCAGCTGAGACCCAGGTGGAAGTTATAGTGTATAGTATAGCAGTTTGGTAACTAATACAGCATGGGTCGGCAACAGGCGGCCCACAGGCCATTGGTGGCCCACCAGCAATAATATTTGGCCCGGAAAATTAGCTTTGTTTTGAAAGAAAAGTTTTGGCTCATCGGACATTTATGAGAGAAAATCCCTAATGTCCGAGTGCAAGTGAATGCAGCAGAAGACTCGATCCTTGTAACCCCTCCCCCGGCCCTGGCGCGATCATTGGAAATGTGATTGGCGGCGATTTCATTTGAACTGGACGGTGACAGAGAAGAGACTGTCAAGTTTGGCTGTACTCAGCTTTGAATCAAAACGCACTAAAGCTGTTGATCTTAATAAGTTAGTGAGGCGTTTTGCTGAACAAGATGGTAATCGCCGCATTCAGCTGTAATCAAGTCAACTTGATGCTCTGCTCACGGATGAGCATACAACACTGTTAAGATGATGACCTTACGTGTGTAAATATATTTTTTTCTTTGTGGGGGTCTGCCCCCAAAAAACAGTTTTAAGTCCTGAGAAACTCAAATCAGACGGTGTGTCAAACTAATCCCAGCTACATTTTTTTTACCACTTTGATTGAACTAGGCCATTAGGTAAGGGCTTTCCACTGGATAATAACTGTAGCAATTTTAACAATCAATTACTTAAATGAGCCTTTGATTATGTTCTGGCCCGCCATCTAGTGGCTCAGAAATGTTTTGGCCCAAGGCCAAAGTTACTTGCCGACCCCTGTAATACAGGGTGGCAGATCTCACTACTTGCCACAGTTGAACTTGTTTTTCAGCGCTGAAGCAAAGATCCTTTGTGTATTCAAAATACTTTGTACATGGCACCATTGTGAAGACGTGTTAAGTGTGTTTGGTGGATGTGCTGTGGGCTCCCTGCAGGGTTCTGGTTGGTGTGGACTCTGATCGTCATCCTCACATGCTGCTGTGTTTGTCAGCACTGGCGCTCTAAGCAGCGCTTCCAGCAGCAGCGGCGGCAGAACGAGATCAACCTCATCGCCTACAGAGAGGCTCACAACAACTCCCAATTGCCCCTCTATCTCAGTAAGAGCTGCCTCCACACATTCCACTCAGGGACAGCAGAGGTGGGAGGAGTACTCAGATCTGCTACTTGAGAAAAGTAGAAGTATCAGAGTGTAGGAATACTCTGTTACTCTGCATTCAAAATGTCACTCAAGTAAAAGTATAAAAGTATTCTCATCAAAGTATACTTAAAGTAGCGACAGTAAAAGTAGTCATTGTGCAGATTGGTCCATTTCAGAATAATATATATGATATGTTTTATAATGATTGATCATGAAAGTGTTCTCAAAGCTGGTAAAGGTGCAGCTAGTTTGAATGACTTTGTATACTGCAGGGTAGCTTGTGAATTTACTCCAGGAGGAACTAAAGTCTGATTTAACACTTGATTATATTTCACATCATTCATCCACATCTGTAAAGTAACTAAAGATATTAAATACATGTAACCTCTAAATTCTCTGGCTTTCTAGTTAGAGCGGAGCACGACTCCTGACTTTTCCTTGTGTTTTTATTTTTATTTTTATTTTGTTTTTTATATATATCTGTTGTAATTTATTGTCGTTTATTGTGATTGTAGTAATGTGTTTTTATTACATGTACAGCACTTTGGCTCGACCAAAAATCGCTTTTAAATGTGCTATATAAATAAAACTTGATTTGATAAATTGTAGTGGAGTAGAACTAGAAAGTAGCAAACAATTAAACTCAAGTAAAGTACAAGTATCTCAAAATTGTACAGTACTTATACTTAGTAAATATACTTAGTTACTTCCCACCTCTGATTGTTAGTCTGTACCTCAGGAGTAAATCTGATCTCTGATCAGGACGATGTTGAGTGTGCCTTTCTGTTTGACCTGACTGTACTCTGGGGTGTGTTATTGTCCAGGATTCCTGCCCACCTACCTGCTGCCGGCCTATGAAGAGGTAGTGGACCGGCCTGTCACCCCCCCTCCTCCCTACACACCCCTGCAGTCAGCCCCCCCGCCCACAGACCCTGCTGAGGACTCTCCTTGCCCCAACCTCAGTGTCTCTGTTTGCAGTGATGCTGATACAATGCTGCCTCCAGAGGTCCCACTCAGCCCCCTCCACAGCGCCTCTCCCCCCAACAAGGACTCGACCCCGGGCAGGTACCGGCGCTTCACAGGGGATTCTGGGATTGAAGTGTGCGATGGCCAGGAACTGTGGGATCAGCACAGCTTTATAGAAAGAGAAGTAACGGAGGAAGAGGGGGTGGGGAAAATGGAGGAGCCATGTGATGGATTTGAACAAAGCCATGTCAGCGGTGCGGTGCTTCACAGACACACAGAGGTGGAAACAGAGCCACAGCCTCACAGCTAATGCTAGATAAAGACACACAGCAGACACTGATGCAGGACTGAAGCTGTGTGCTGAGCAGGTGTGTGGGACAGGCCTGGAGACAAATGAAAGGCAATGATACACACATTGCCCTATTATACCATTAAAGCTTGACCAACTGAAGCTTTGCAGATTCTGATACTTTGCTTTTTCTTTTTTTAAACAATAAACTATGTAACACATATTTGTACATTTACATGAAAACGTATCATGAACACATTTATTTCTGAAAGAATTGCAACCAATACCAAGCAGAAGTTAGAGTATAACATTTATTTGAGATTGTGGCTCATACACTGATACTGTAAATGGGTGGTGAGCTGATGTCAGCCTGTTGTCTAATGCTAGCTATATCAATAACCAGGACTCTTCAGCATCAATGTGATCAAGTACTTCAAGTGTCTATTAGCCCAATCAGACGATCCCAGCAGGTGTTGGTATAATAGTGCATTTAGTTGAGTTGAATGATAGCTTTGGCTCACTTCAGTCTGAGCTCCATGCTCCTCTTGGTGTTAACGCACAGCTTCTGAACAGAGGAGTGCCATGTAGCAACATGCTGTAGAAATGCTTCCACGTTTCCACCTCCCTGACAAACCTAGAAAACAACTCGTTTTTGAAACATCAATTACCTTTTTCGTAGATGCATTTGAATTCACACTTGTATCCATGAGACATCATAATGCCACTCATGGTGGCAGAGCTCAGGTCCATAGCAGCATGTGACTTGTGAAGCAGAGCCACAGCAACACAGACAAACTAATGCATGTTCTGCATTGTTTCTCAATGAAGCTCCACTCCTGCTCTCATCAAGGCTTTTACCAGGGAGACTTAGAGAAATAAGAGAGGGAGCAGGTGTACATGAACTGCATACATCAGAAGCACAACTAACTACTAATATCAGGGTTTATTGCTAAATGTCATTCTAGAAAATAGCTTCATGGTGAAATCTGTCCCTTTCAGCCTTTAAAGTGTGCGACACAGGCCTTACAGTTCCACAGCCAGCTGGGATCTGACCATCAACATGGGATGGTTTGATAAGGACATTTAACCCTATATATAAATAAATAAAGCTGTATTTATATATATATATACAGAATATAACATTATGTATAAGGCTATTGATGTTCAAGGCAAAGAAACAGCTGACCAAAGGATCCAAAAAGACACTTAAAACAGGAAGAGTTGGCAGTGCCAATAAGCAGCGCATTAACCAAATGTTTTTCTTAAGACGCACCGGTCCAGGTTATGGAGGAACTAAAGGAAGGCTTTTGTATCAGGTCCAACAAGAAGTGGGAGTGGGGGGGAATGGAAATGAAATAGGCTCATATGGGAACAAATTGGACAGTAAAATTAAACACAAGGACCTTAAACAATCTCCAAAATAGTTTGGACGGTGAGGAGAGGAGAGTGGATGATCCACAGGCACAGAGATGGAGTTCTTCGAGGAGCTGTGACTGGGCGGGTTAGAGAACAGTGTTCCAGAACACTTCCCTTTTGGATCCCTGAGCTGTAGGTTGTGATCATTTTGATTAAGGCCCCTGAGGTGCTCCAAGTATAGTCATTGTAGCACAGGATCAGTGCAGTGTGGAATAATGCTTCTTTTACAGATGGCTAGGACCACAAACCGAAGTGTTTCAAGAGAGCATTTGTTACTTCTCTCTTGGAGTTGACTCAGTTCTAAGTTCTTATTTTTTCTGTTAGGCCTATCTAAGATTTGATTTCCTCATTAATGAACCAGTATGTTTAGAATTTACTGTAACAACTCATTTTCACTACCAATTTGGCATAAACAAAATACAATTAAATGCAGAAATGTCCTCAGGTCAAAACACAAGATCAATAAACAAACAATTGACCACTGGTGTGTGGTTTCTTGATGACTCTCCCTCAAGCACATGACAGTAAAACCTGGCCCGTTGTATGACAGTATGTAAACATATTTCACCTTACGCACCTGAAGAGAACAGGCAAAAGCAAACGGGTTGTCGCTGATCACCTCACTTCGTAACGTCCACCGAGTCTCCTACCCAAAGGGCTCTTAGCACAAAATGTATTTTTACCACCAAGAAAGGAGAATATGAAACGTCAGTTCCTTATTCATAAGGTTATTGTGAAGATAATAATAATAATTAGGCGTGTGGGCATGAGGACCAAGATGAGACGTTGTGAATTTGATGTGATTTTTGAATGAGTCAACAGCACAGAAAAAGGCTTTTATGTCTTAAAAATAACTACGTTTATTATAACAGCATTTACACATTTCCTCAGTGTCACACACAGAGTTATATACTTTAAACATCACTTTCATAGCAGTCTTGCATTTTGGATATGATGAAAGTGATATGTTGACTGCAGCAGAACGTTCAGCCTTCATCAGCCTCATCCTCCAGCAGGAAGTCTCTGATCTCCTCCCTCAGCTGAGACCTGCAGGACAAGTCACATGTATCATGCTCCATTCTAAAAAGGGAGAAGCACACTTCTGGGTTCCTAACTGATTGTTGTACACTGACCTCCTGAGCCTCCTCTCAGCCTCCGACAGGATGTACTGCGGGAGAACCTCCTCAGACGACTGGTGAGAGAACAGATGAAGAGACAGGGACACCACAGGTGAACGTCAGTAGCATTACAAAAATAAAAAGCATATTTTTAATTCACGAGAGAAAATAATGAAGATCTAAACTGAACAAACGGCTAAAAGTTTCATTTAAGTGCTATGATGTGTATTCATGTATTATTATTTTGAAGTACTTTATGATGTAACTATCTATAGACACATCAGATTAATATGAAGTCAGTTATAAGGTCATTTGAGAGATGATGCATGATGGGAATCTGTTTTCCGTTCTGTGCTTTTAATGCTAAATGTCTTCGTGAAATCAAATGAATGAATTGGAAGGTGCCACAGATGTTGAATCGTTATTTCTGTCTTCACTTAAGTTATATTAGTTTATTTAGTGATTGTCATGGCTACTATTATGGTTTTTATATTTCAGAAGGACTTTCAAACACTTTCAGTGACCAATGTCTATTTTTAAAACTTCAAGAGCTTGATTTTTTCCCCTCAAAGTCAAACATTAAATGATTTAACGGACCCCCGGGACCCCTGTAACGACAAATACAAAGTTTAGATTGTGTTCCTCACCATGTCTTTGATGGTCAGCTGACAGCTGTAACACAGCAGACTCCTCAGGGGGGGGGACTCTGAGGCTCTGTCACACAACAACACCACAGCATTTATTCATATTATTTTGTTTTTGTGTCCGCTTTACAATTGCACCCAAAAAATATAATGATATCACGTGAAAAGACACAAAGACTACGAGGCTGCACAAGTAATGACATCAGCCACAGCTTTATCTGTTCACTGTTTATGTTGATGGTGCTAATGCTAACACGCTAAAGTAAGATGGTGAACACAATGATGATAATGCTACGTACATGTTAGCATGTAGCTTACAGCAATGTGAGAGCAGCATCACGGATCCTGTCTTCTAGTCTCGATACAAGACACCTCCGAAAATCCATGGCACACTATATTTAGAATACTTTCACTACTTTGCCCCGCTGCAGACTTTAACACCACTGCTGAGAGATAACAATACTACGAGCAAAACACACTTATTATAACTGCCTGCAGTGTTTCCCCTAGGATGGAGTCATAGCAGCGGTGCTAAGGCATAATGTGAGCGTGGAGCGCGTGGAATTTTTTAGTGTGTGCGCGTAAGAAGTGCGCCCCGCCAATTTGTTTCTATGTGTCTGCCAGCACAAGAAAGGCTCTTGAGGCCTAGTACCAGGGCCGGTTCTAGACAATTTGCTGCCCTAGGCGAGATTTTATATAAAGAATAAATGAAAAACCTCTACAAAAGACGAATACACTACAAAAACAGAAACTTATTGACATCGGTATATACATCAAAAAGGCTTCAAATGTACTATTCAGTATTGTATGAACATGTTTGAATTGGGGGGTGGACGTCACATCCTCTAGGGGGGTCCGGGGGCATGCCCCCCCAGGAAGATTTCTTTGAACATTTTACAGTAAAATGCTTCAATCTGGTGCAATCTTTGAGCACACAATTACTAGAGACCTGATCTAGGTGGTACAACTCTAAAACACCCATATGAAAAAGATTGGTTTACATTTTAATAATCAAATAAGTATATGAACATAACCAATAACCTACCATAGCCAATAACAAATAAATGTAACTTATTTTATTTTTATTGTTCATTTATATCTTATTTTACCTAGTTAACATTTATTTATTTATGCATATTTTTGTATCTCTCCAACTTTAAATGATATTTTTGGTTTACTGTCCTATAGTATACATTGGAATGATTTCAAACCTGTTTTTATTTATCCTAATAATTATAAAGGAGTGCCTTGGAAATATGTGTTTACATAATTTGTGGTCAAAATGTTTGAGACCCACTGAGATAACTTAGACTAAAGTGAACTATCTAAACCCTCAGAGAGTCCTTTACCTCACTGAGCCTCTCAGTCTGACAGGAGAGCTCTCCTCCACCCTGGTTGTAGAAACATCTACTTCTTATATCCGTTAGCGCAGCTAGCACCAGATTCTAATAACAACAGCGCCGGTACCGGTGCACCCTCTCTCTCTCTCCCTCGCTCTCTCTCTCTCGCTCCCACGCTCGCACTTTGGCTGTGAGCTGCGGGCGCCTGATAAGCCAACATCCCCCACTTTCATCACTTACAGTGCCCATCGTACAGGACAAATGAAAAGTGTAACCGGGGTGAAAAGGGTGTTACCTTTACTTAATTATGAATGTTGTTACATCAAGGCCGAAAATTAGGATGAGCGCCAACGGTCAAAAATGTTTTTTCCCCTCCCAGAGCTACCAGCGCAGTGCCCCCCAGATCTGGCGCCCTAGGCGACCACCTATGCCAAAAATCGGCCCTGCCAGTACATACAGTGGCAATGTCTCAAGATTTAGCAAAAAATACACCTTTATTGAACATACAGTAACACAAATACTACAAATCCACATAACAAACAATCAAAAATGAAAAAGGGACGCCACTTATTATTTTAATTTAAAAAAAAAGAAAAAAAAAAAAAGATTTTTTTAGCAGCGGCGCGCATATTTCAGCAGCGGCGCTGCACCGCCACTAATTGTATATAGGGGAAACACTGGCCTGCTACTTTAATACTTTGACTTACTATTCATTAATGCAGCTACTTATTTTTTTACCATGTATGTGTACTTATTTGATTACATCTTATAAACGTATGCTCGCCTCTTTGTTTATGATGTTAGCCCACTCTTTTGTGTTTGCCATTTAAAAGGACTTCTGAGTCCAGCAACTCCCGTGTTCTCATCAAGGTAGTCTTCTGGCTTTAAAGGTCTCCCATTATGCTATTTTTAGGCATATATGATGGGTCTCAGATATATAAAAATATATAAAAACATGTCTATGATGTGTTTTGCTCAAAATACCAAACAGATCATGCATTTTAGAAATCCCTCATATCCCTCTGTTTCAGCTGTTAGAGAAACGCTAATCTGGGTCCTTAGCTTGAAAAAAAAAAAGAGGAGGGGAGCTTGTGCCTGCTCAGAATTCTACCCAGAGACTCAGCTAAACGCCATCATGTTCCAAACCACATCAAGGATTATTTCTGAAACAGTATAGAGCTCAAATGCTTCTTTTTTTGCAGGTTTACCACAAGGTGAGTTCCTTTTTATATTTCCTGCTTCTTTACACACACTCTCTCCAGTACAGGTTAGCTCTGAGTGTTAGCAATGCTTGCTAATGTAAACAAAGACCATATTACATCCAAAACAGTCGGGCATTGATTCTGATACAGCAACATTTCTGATAGGGCCGTGGGTGTAAAGCCAGCCCACATTTCCGATATTACGTCATATCGGACGCAAATCTGGATCAGCTCCGTTGTTTTAGATTTGGGTACGGAGGAAAAGAGAGAGGGTTTTGTTTTCTGACACTTTGTGAGTTCCCTGACACACCGTGGACACATATTTATGTATAAAGGACATTTAAAAAAAGTGCATTTTGCATAATAGGTGACCCTTAAAGGGAGCACAGAACAGCTTCAGTTGCCTTTTCTGCATACCTGTTGCTGCTGTCCTGTCATCAGCAGCAACAGGCTTTAGTTCCGTTTTCTACTGTATGTAAAACTGACTATGGAGAGGTTACTCAAACAACCTCCCTATAAACAATCTGAACCTTTTCATTTGGTGTCGATAAGACCCAGGATTGGAATAGATCAATAAATCACTCAACACTTACTTGGCAGACGAACAGCATCCTCCACCACGGTTCCCACAAAGCTCTCCTCCAACAATGGAGCAGCACTGTGAGGCGGGAGCAGTCCACTCTGGAGCTGTAATGAAAACACAGGAAACTGAAATCAACGCCTAACGTAAGAGCTCATCTGCATGGGGTACTCAGTGTGTATATACACTGTATATACTACAATATCTGATTCATATTCCATCACTGACAGAAGCATCATTCTATGGCTCAAACTGGACTAGTGAAGTTTGCTCATATTGATCAACTTTCTCCGTATCCAGATTGACCCAAGGCAGAGTGTGTGTGATCATTGGCTAACAGTATATCAGGGTGTCCGCGGGGTCTTCAAAAGTATTAAAAGTTGATTACATCTTACATCTTACATTTGACTTCAGGATTCCTGCATATACCCTGTATATGTACCTTGCCTGCTCTCTCCTGGAGACTTAGTCTGCGAGAGCTGCTCTGAGATCAGGGTGGCGCTGAAGGCTGAAGCATTCTCTGGACAAGAGAGGGACACGAAGACAGAGAGAATGAAGAACGCTGTACGTTTCTGAACGTGTCCACTTCAACGTCACATAATTCAATCAAAGAACAGAGCTCCAAATGTTTGATATCTTGGTGCCATTATCTGTGAACAGAGATGTCTTATGATGTCTGCAGAAGATAAGTAAGACTTAACTTTTAAGTTAAAAAAAAAAAAAAAAAAAGTAGTATTAAAACAAATGAGAACATGGTGTGTGGGGCTCACCAGCAGCAGTGTCCAGGGCGCACACACACAGCAGACACCTGTCCCCCTCCGCTGAGGCAGAGCCCTTGCAGCTCTGTAGCTTCTCGCTCGTCCTGACACACACACACACACACACACACACACACTTTAAGTCTTCACATGCAAGTGCATGCAAAATGTGACAATGACTGCATATTGCCAATAGTGTATAATAAATGATAATAAAAAATGATTTTAACGATAAAAAGTAGGCAGTATACCGTTTAGAAAATGTGCAGCATCCCTAATTGAAAGCCCCGACACATGCTCACTGACCTGTAGATGGTGCTGACGGTGGAGGGGAAGTCTGCCTGCAGCTTAATGACAAAGCTCTCTGTCAGATGCTGGATGCTGGACTTGTCTGCAGTCTGTGGGGGGGGGGGAGATAACAAACTGAGAGTCAATCACAACAGACCAGGGGCCTCATTTATAAAGGGATACACGCTCAAAAAATGGCGTACCCCAGTTTCTACGCAATGTTTGCGATTTATAAAATACTAACTTGACGGGAAAATGTGCGGCCCTCCACGCAAACTCTAACCCATGCGTACGCACTAAGCACACAAACAGGAGAGACGAGAAACTACGTCACCGTTGGCAGAAGGAAGAATGGAGAGAAATATGTGGAAATAATACCATAAATAAAATGTTACCTCTCATTTATCATATATGAAGAATTCATTTTCAAACATTGATTAAAGCCAATCTTAAAATGATTAAACAAACGCCTGTTTGAGACTCCTCAGTGCACACAAAAACATAACTTGGAGAAATAAATAAATACGGATATGTTATTTAAAACCACCTCGAATATGTTGTGTTAATGTTATGAAATGTTTTCTCATAAATGATGCGGTAAGCAGGAGGACAGAATGACGTCTAAACTGACGCCGTTTTGCTTTCCTATAGGTTGTAGATACGAGCATGGTTTTATATACTATCACGTTTAATTGTGTTTTATGCCGTTTGCCAAGACTTGATAAGTAGCTCGTAAAACACAGGAGGTATGGAAACTAAGAACACCATACCTATTTTTTTGCTTTGTACTACGTAAGCAACCTTCCCACGTCAATCCTACGCAAGGCGTTATAAATGAGGCCCCTGAACAGACAGACTACACACACTTTGATATCACAGTACCCACTAGGTGCCACTAAACACCAACATTTCAGCTCAACTACAAGCAGACTCTGGATGACAAACGGAGAAAGATACAGCATTCGGAAGCAGTAAAAGGTCTCAATGCAGCACGAGAAAGAATGCAGGTGTATGACCATGAAGAATCGATTAAAGAAGAATGGAAAAACTTGCAAGAGAAGGATCTGGTAAGTAACCCAGAGGCCCAAGACGGGATCTAAGGACAGCTTTGATCTCAGAGAGTTTGCAGACTTTCTCCGTAGTTACGAGGCTGCCATGGTCCACATCAAGGCAATAGAAATCTTGAATGACCGTAATGCAAACAGGCAAATACATTCAAAGTTACCAGATTGGCTAACTGCAAGATGGAACCGGAAGGTTATTGAAGTGGAAGAAGAGAGTAACCAATTCCCCTCCTTTGTAATAGTAAAGTTTATAAAAAAGAGAAGCAAAGATTGCCTGCAAGCCTGTCAAAACATCATTGCAATCACTAAAGCAAGATGAAGCTGAAAAAACAAAATCTCAAAGACAACAAAGCTTTGCAGCAAAGTCACTGACCACAAGTTCAGACGAAAAGACAGTCAATAATCCAGAGTACTCTCTACTGTAGCCTCTGTGTATGATCCCCTGGGGTTCATGGCACACTTTGTCCTTTTGGGTAAGCAGTAGTCCAGCAAATGTGCAGAGACAAGATCGGCTGGGATGAAGACCTACCAGAGAACCCACCTCAGTGGGAGTCCTGGTTCTATTTCGTATATGGCTTCGCCCTCTAAGGCTATCGCTATTGGGTAATCCCACTGCGCACCCGCGCAGCACTGAAACACTTGTAGTCCACGCCCGCCCGCAAGGTGGGCCTCACCCTCAGGCTCCCTTCCGGTATAAAGAGGAAGGAGGCCCGACAATCTGCTCCCTCTTTTTCTTCAGCACCCCGTTACTGAAGCACAAGAGACACTTCAATTGCAGAGTAAACATGGGTGACAATTGTGTGAAAGATTGTCCCTCATGTGGCTCTGGGTTCATAATGAGTTATGACTAGCACACAGTGTGTGAGTCCTGCCTGGATTCACATGCTGTGTGCCCTCCTCGGCCGGGGGGGGACGGGCACAGTGGGTGCATGCACCTGCTGTGCCCGTCTCCCCTCGGGCGACAGGAAGCGGAGAGCGGACACTCTCGCTGCTGCGGCACCAGACTCACAGGATAACAAGTGCAAACAAGCTGGGTTTGCACGTGTACAAACAGTTGGGGCTTTGTTTACAATTGATTTTATTTATTTGGTGGTTTGTGCTCCAGCTGTCGATCAGCTGTGCGCAGCGTCTCCACTGCAGCCTGTGCGTCTCAACCCCCCCGCAACAACTCTATCCCCCAGTTAAAGGAAATAAAACTAATGTGTTGTGTTATATCAGCTGTACAATTTACCAAATATATGCTGTTCTTAGTTTCCATACCTCCTGTGTTTTAGGAGCGACTTATCAAGTCTTGGCAAACGGCACTAAACATGATTAAACCATGCTCGTATCTATACAACCTAGAGAAATGCAAAACGGCAGTTTAAAGTAATTCTGTCCTTCTGTTTACTGCATCATTTATGAGAATACATTTCATAACATTAAGAGGACCTAATCGAGGGGTGATCAATAACATTTCCGTATTTATTTATTTTGGAGTTGTGTGTGCACTGAGGAGTCTCAAACAGGCGTTTGTTTAATCATTTTAAGATTGGCTTTAATCCATTTTTGCAAATGAATTCTTCATATATGATACATGAGGTAACATTTATTAATAATGCTATTAATTCCACATATTTATCTCCATTCTTCCTTCTGCCAACGGTGTCTCAGTTTATCATCTCTCCCGTTTTTGTGCGTACGCATGGATTGTGGTGTTTAGGATAAGAGATCAAACCAGAGCTCCAGACTGATCAGCACTGAGGAGAATCCTTCCTACAGGATTTTGTGTGGATGTCCAAGGGGGAGGGACATTAGGTTTAAAGAAATGGTTTGGAATTGCTTGTTTTATTTTCTGCATCTGTAATATTTACAAAAACGTTTTTTTTCAGTTTTCTCTCCTTTCTACTTGTGTGTTTCCTTGTGAAACTGTGTTTTCTGCTGTGTTTCTGGCACATCTTACCTTAGTGTCCAGGCCCGCTGTGAACACCGACGGCACGCTGAACATACGGTTGTAGTAAGCTATTTCTTTAGCTGAGTAGTCCCTCATTGGCCTCACTAGTATGGTGTCACCATACCTGGAGTCTGAGAAACCCTGTAAACACATACCCATTAGCATTATTTGTTTTGGTCAGATTTCACACCCAATATGTGAAACCCAAGAATAAAAGAAGAAGGGGGTCTCACTGTGTCGTGAGCCAGCTGAGCCCCTCTGCCCAGTGAGATGCTGCTAAGCAGTTTCACAGCCAGCCTGGTGCAGCTGTCCCCCAGCATCAGCTTGCTGTAGCCTGCAGAGCGCGCCGTGTGCACCAGCAGGTGCTGCCTGTGAGGAGAACACACACTCAGCACATCTCCACACAAAGTACACACTGGACTTTCTCAACATCATCATCTGTTTAATCAATGTCTTAACCCTCCTGTTGTGTTCGGGTCAAATCCGACTGATTTATTATTTGATTGCCTCAAGGCCTTATGACTACAGTAGGCATTTGAACATAAACCATTTCTAATCACCACTTTCATTGAATTTTGAGGTTTAGTCAACTTTTTAACAAATATGGTGTTCCTGCTGAAAGATTATGTTCATCCATCAGATCGTACACACCCAAATCCACCATGTTCATTTTGGACTACATTTTCTTTATTTTATTCACTGCAGTTATTCATGTGAACGTGTAGTCTGAGACATTGTTTACAGCTTAACCTGTTAAGCCCTGAGCCTGTTTTTCAGGTCTCAGGCTCGAAAATGACATTCCCAGAACAAATGACCATATCTTCCCTTCTAAAAGGGTTACATTAATAATCTTTTTTCTCAAAGTAATGATAAACCTGTGAGTTGGATGTAGAAAAGTCAGAATCAATATAGATGTTTTTTATTTTAAAGAAAATTCAGATTTTACATAGTAAAAAACTGTAAATTATAGTGTCCGTCTGCATACACTCTGGTGGCTACCATTAGCAGCTAACTTTTCCGCTCCGATTTTTACATAAAAAATGGAATTATGGATTATAAATAATTTTTTAAAAGGCACAGGTACATTATCAACCTATGGATCAACAGTTGTAGCATTTTTGTTTTTCGTTTTAATGCCATTAAACACGTCTTTTGACCTAATTGACAGCTACGGTGAGACGATCTGCCGTAAAAGCTCCGTAAAGGTACGTGTTGTGATGTCTGTGTTTGCTTCCCCTGTCGCAAGTTTGGATCGCTCAGTGATGATACTATACCTAAATAATCAGTGGAGTCTCAGCTTTAATCGGCTATATTGTATGTGCAGCTATGATAAGTAATAAGGGTATCTTTATCTTGAATTGTGTGCCGCAGTGAGTTAGAATTTTTTCGCTCAGGGGTCATTTAGACGCTTCTTATGAGACTTGTGAGGGTCCTGCTGTAATGACCTCAGTATGTTCAGCAGCTCCTCCCGGGCTGTCAGGGTCCTGGCAGAGCCCAGGAGCCGCTGCAGGGAGTGTGTGTGGGCCTCCTGGACCTCAGGCGGGGGGGTTTCCTGCTGCTGCCCTGCAGTCACACCGCTGCTGCCGTTGCTGAGCAGGAAGTGATCCACGGCTGCTTTGTAGGCGCCGGCTTCCTGTTCTGGAGCTCCCGGAGCCGACAGAACAACTGAACTGGGAAGGTCCAGAACCTGAGACAATAAAAAACACACACTCCCTTCAGACTGAGCTCATGTTATATGGACATGTGTGTTTACTGACATGTAAACTGAGGTCACATGTAGCCACGGATTGCATGTGGTTAAGGCCACACTGACCTGCTCCAGAGGCACCATGAGGAAGGGGAAGCCTGTAGCTCTGAATACAGCCCGGAGCTCCTCCACCGTCCTCCGTCTGTGCTCCACCGACTGACCCACAGCGCCCCCCTCTGGGTCCAAACACACACACAATCATTGCAAAGGGTTTGGTACCGAATCATCCATTAATGCAAACACTTATACACTTAAATAATAACTTCCGATTTGATTTACCGTCAATGTAGACAATGCCGGGTAAGAATCTCAACTTCTTGTGAGCATTCTGACTCAAACCCTGAGAGGAAGCAGAGGTTCACAGCTGTATTAATGATATCCAAGACAATTATCTATTGGATAATTATTACCATCAGAATATACAGTGGAGTTCTGAAGGAGCATTTCAACATCTCTTGAATCATTTCATTAGTTAATAAAAAGCATCCATTTATCCACACACAGAAGGTGACTAGCTCAGTGCTGAACATTATTGTGATACTGATATTCTGTACAAACTGTGAAGTCCACTGTGACAAATGTAACATTTGTGATATTGGGCTATATAAATAAACATTGATTGATTGATTGATTGATTGATTAGCCATGTGCTGTCAGACTTCATAGTGTCCGGTAATAACCTGCTATACTGCTAATGTTAAATGCCCACAATAGCCGCGTTCACACCGGAGTACTTTTCCCTGTACTTTTCGCGTTTAGTTCCGTTAGTACCCCTTATGTCGCGTTCACACCAAAAAGAATACTGAGTGCCGGGAACTTTTACCCCCATTTTTAGTGCCTGCTGAGAGATGGTACTTTCCTGGGGGGAAAAAGTGCCCCAGTTCTGATTGGCTGGGCGAATTGCAAACCACGCCCCGTAAAACTCTGAAATGTTTTGTAGAGCCGCCATTTTATTATCCTCGCATTAGCATCATTAGCATTAGCATTCGCCCAGCGCACAAACGCAGAGAGACTAACTTATGGCAACACAAAATAAAACATGGGAGCGGTGGAGATGAGGTGTCGGCGTTCTGGCGATTTACTCGGAAGGCTTCAGTAGAAGCTGCTGGGAGTCCCAGGAGCTTCTACTGAAGCCAGTCCCCAACTCCGGGGACTTCCGGCCGGGGACTTCGGGTGGCAGTATACACCGTGAAGTGGTTTGCGGCCTACCAGTAAACCCAAAGCAGAAGAAGAAGAAGTGACGTCAGCGGCTCATTTGCGTAATCTTCCCTCAGGGAACTTATTCCGGTGTGAACGCGATCTGTACTAAGTGCCCTGGGGTAATAAGTGCCCTGGGGTAATAAGTGCCGGGGCACTAAGTGCCGGCACTAAGTACGGCAAAGTACTTGGTGTGAACGCGGCTATTGAATTATGGGCCAGCACATAGTGACACTATACTTTGGGTATACATAGACTCAGACGGGGTCACCTCTTGGACTTGACTGAGCATGGAGCAGGAAGAAGGCCCTCCAGACACCGCCAGCAGCACCTGCAGCACAATCATCACAGCCTCACTTCAATCACTGTTCTGAGGGAGGGCAACACAACGTCAAGTCAGTAGAGCAAAAAGAACAAAGCTTACCTTTTCTCCAGGGAAAATCAGCCTATTTTTGCCCAGCATGGCTCTGAACTTATGAATGAAGTACTCCTTGAAACAGCCCCTGACAAACCAGAAAGGATCTGAGTTAAGTCGGTGAAACACAGTAAAACCATGGATCATCTCTGCTAGCAGCACTGCAGTTCTATAAAGACCTGCTCATTTACCTCTTTTTTTACAGAATAACAATTTAATTTACTATTTTTAATTTCAGTCACTCCCTGCACAGGTGTTTCACAATGAAAGTTTATCGGCTTTTCATCGGACATTGAGCACTTCAGTACTTTGTTTTACACGCTGCTGCAACGAAAACATTTCATTGGGATGAATAAAGTCAATGTTATCTTATCTTACAGCTGAAAGTGAATACTGGCAGAGGGAGCAGAAGCAGTGCATTTGATAACAAATCAAACAAAAAGAGTGCTCACCTGGTGTCAGGATTATATGATTTCCAACTGATAATGATAGCATTACATCTTGTTTGACTAAAAGGACAATAAAATACTGATTTGGCTGGACTACGTTGACTGATGACAAAAACATTATTCATGAGAAAAATAAATAGTTTGGGTTTTATGGGACTAATATAATATTACTAATATTCACAGACCTTGATTTAATAAAAACAGGTTTAGTTTAAAAAAACTATTTAGGACATTTGCATGTTTATTTGTTAGTCTTTCTTTAGCGATTCCACTCACAGGTACTGCACATGAAGCCAAGACAGTATCCATTTTCAACAGTTTCTGCAATCTTGAGCCAACTAATTATTTCAGTAGTGCCAAGATCACAAAAAAAGATCTAAAGCTGGAGGATCAGTGCTTATTGTGTTGCATAAATACCTTCAGTGTGTGTTAACATCCTTACCTGCAGTATGCATCTCCTGCTCGGATCACCACCGCTGCACTTGCCTCTTTGCATTTCACACATTGCCTAGAAACACTCAAAATGGAGGAACAGACATCTTAAAAGCTGCTGTGAATGGATTTAGATTTGTTGACACATTTATGTGCTGTCATCTGTAATATTATGTAAAGATACTGTGGACAAATAAGGGTTGGTTACACAAACACAATTCAAACAGAAATGGAGAGGTTCCAGAGTAACCCTTTACTGATTCAAGCTTTGGATTATGTGAAGTCTGTCTAAGCACAACACTGTTTCAGAGTTGTTGAAGAGTAGACAGCACGCTGAAATAAATATGATCTGTCCTAACAACAATGAGCCTCAAAGCAAAAAAAAGTACAATTTTGAGAGTCTTGTATTTTATGTAGCGACAAAACTCCCATTTAATGAAGGCGCTGAGAGGCTAAGTTTGGTTCATATCTGTGACTCGTTCCCAATGAGCAGTGTGTACTGGACATTTTGTTCCATCCAATTTAATAACTCAAATAAACAAACAATTACAGCAAGACCATAAGGTCTACAAACGGTATCGAACCAAATCTCCCTTTTCCATCACACAAGCCCGGCACACATCAGGTTTACTAAATACCTTAAAGCACATCCATGTGACAGGATGTGACTTATTACAATTACAACAGTGTGCTGTAAACTAACAATAATAATACAATTATAAATAATCAACAATGGCAAAACCTGCATTTTGGCTCTTACACTTTACTTGAGTATTTCCATGTTATGCTACTTTATACTTCTACTCCACAACAGTTCAGAGGTAATTGGTGTACTTTTCCTCCACTACATGTATTTAATATCTTTAGTTACTTTACAGATGTGGATGAATGATGTGAAATATAACCAAGTGTTAAATCAGACTTTAGTTCCTCCTGGAGTAAATTCACAAGCTACCCTGCAGTATACAAAGTCATTCAAACTAGCTGCACCTTTACCAGCTTTGAGAACACTTTCATGATCAATCATTATAAAACATATCATATATATTATTCTGAAATGGACCAATCTGCACAATGACTACTTTTACTGTCGCTACTTTAACTATATTTTGATGATAATACTTTTCTACTTTTACTTGAGGAACATTTTGAATGCAGGACTTTTACTGTAACAGATTATTCCTACACTCTGGTACTTCTACTTTAACTTAACAAGATCTGAGTTACCAACGCTGTAACTTACCTGGGCAGCTCCTCGCGCAGCAGCGGCCCGTGGTACTCCTCCTCCACCTGGCACATGACCTCTGACCTGGGTCTGGGACTGTACGTGAGTGAGTGGCGGGAGTCTGACTCTCAGCCTGCTCACGTCCTGTCAGCTGTAAAGCGGCTACATTTACTCAGGGCACTTTGTTCCACTTTCTGTTAGCAGCTGTCTCGTGTATATTTTCATGGATGTCTAATCGTGTCTAATGCATAAGAATCATGTCTCTTTCTGATGACGTAGAGGATCTTCTTTCTGATACTTGCAGTGCGATACCGCCCCCAGCTGGTGTGGAGGGTGGGTACAAATATGACTGAATAGAGGAGAAGGGTCCAGCTGCAGCCGCAGCCGGTGGAGGTTGAACCTGAAGGAAGTTGAAGTTGTACTTCCAAATATGGTCAGAAGAGAGCTCGCCCAACACGTGAGACGCTGACGCAAGGATATTTAATCAGACATGGAGGTTTATAGAGAACAGACAACAGACAATATATGGCGCACCGAGTACAGGTAATTAACGTCTTGTGGATTTAGATATAATTACATACAATTTAGGTTCTCGGTTGTTTGTCGATTTGGCTGTTTAGCGCAGTATAATTGTGTTTATTTTGCTAATTTGTATTTTAAATATTCAAGTTAAAGGAATGGAATACATAAATAATATATATGTGTATGCTAACTGAGCGAGCATGTCCTATTAGCATACATGCTAACTGGATGAGCATGTCAAGCTAAGAGCTAAGATATACATCTTAGCTAAGATATATGTATATCTTAGCTTGACAGATGGAACAATGCATGTACTCTAATCTTTACAAGAATCTGATTTTGTGTAAGTTTTAAATATTCATTGAAGGAGTCTTTCACATTTGAATGTTTATTTATTTAAAACATTTATTAGTTGCTATACTGTGTAGACATGTAGGCCTACATATGTCTATGATTATATTATTATTTTAAGTGTGGTTTAAAGGGGACCTATCATGCAAAATGCACTTTTGTACGTCTTTTATACATGAATATGTGTCCCCGGTGACCGCGGTGAAGTTAGTTTTAGGTTGGATATTCGACGGACATTCGCGGACCCGCCAGCAGCGTCAGTTTCCCGGACCCGCCAGCAGCGTCAGTTTAACGGGGAGATCTTCTCTGCGAAACGAGGCTTTCACTTAGGGACCATCAACAAATGACTTTTACAATTACACAAGAAAAATGTTATTTTTAATAAATCGACAGCTTCTCGATCGTGTGAATGTGAAGCAAATTCACTCTAGAGCATACATTTATTGAACACACCTCTTTTTATTGCATTTTAATACTTTAAATATTTTATATTAATATTTTGATGGAGAAATTAGCTTATTTCTTCAATACCTTCCAGGTCATGTGACCTAATCACTCAAAATCAATGCTGGGTCAAAGAACTACACTGGCTGCATAGGACACACCTCTTTTTATTCCATTTTAATACTTTAAATATTTTATATTAATATTTTGATGGAAAAATTAGCTTATTTCTTCAATACCTTCCAGGTCATGTGACCTAATCACTCAAACTCAATGCTGGCGCAAAGAACTACACTGGCTGCGTAGGACACACCTCTTTTTATTCCATTTTTAATACTTTAAATATTTTATATTAATATTTTGATGGAAAAATTAGCTTATTTCTTCAATACCTTCCAGGTCATGTGACCTAATCACTCAAAATCAATGCTGGGTCAAAGAACTACACTGGCTGCATAGGACACACCTCTTTTTATTCCATTTTAATACTCTAAATATTTTATATTAATATTTTGATGGAAAAATTAGCTTATTTCTTCAATACCTTCGAGGTCATGTGACCTAATCACTCAAAATCAATGCTGGCTCAAAGAACTACACTGGCTGCATAGGACACACCTCTTTTTATTCCATTTTAATACTCTAAATATTTTATATTAATATTTTGATGGAAAAATGAGCTTATTTCTTCAATACCTTCCAGGTCATGTGACCTAATCACTCAAAATCAATGCTGGCTCAAAGAACTACACTGGCTGCATAGGACACACCTCTTTTTATTCCATTTTAATACTTTAAATATTTTATATTAATATTTTGTGGAAAAATGAGCTTATTTCTTCAATACCTTCCAGGTCATGTGACCTAATCACTCAAAATCAATGCTGGCTCAAAGAACTACACTGGCTGCATAGGACACACCTCTTTTTATTCCATTTTAATACTTTAAATATTTTATATTAATATTTTGATGGAAAAATGAGCTTATTTCTTCAATACCTTCCAGGTCATGTGACCTAATCACTCAAAATCAATGCTGGCTCAAAGAACTACACTGGCTGCATAGGACACACCTCTTTTTATTCCATTTTAATACTTTAAATATTTTATATTAATATTTTGATGGAAAAATGAGCTTATTTCTTCAATACCTTCGAGGTCATGTGACCTAATCACTCAAAATCAATGCTGGCTCAAAGAACTACACTGGCTGCATAGGACACACCTCTTTTTATTCCATTTTAATACTCTAAATATTAATATTTTGATGGAAAAATTAGCTTATTTCCTCAATACCTTCGAGGTCATGTGACCTAATCACTCAAAATCAAGGCTGGCTCAAAGAACTACACTGGCTGCATAGGACACACCTCTTTTTATTCCATTTTAATACTCTAAATATTTTATATTAATATTTTGATGGAAAAATGAGCTTATTTCTTCAATACCTTCCAGGTCATGTGACCTAATCACTCAAAATCAATGCTGGGTCAAAGAACTACACTGGCTGCTTAGGACACACCTCTTTTTATTCCATTTTAATACTTTAAATATTTTTATATTAATATTTTGATGGAAAAATTAGCTTATTTCTTCAATACCTTCCAGGTCATGTGACCTAATCACTCAAAATCAATGCTGGCTCAAAGAACTACACTGGCTGCATAGGACACACCTCTTTTTATTGTAAATTAGCTTATTATCTTAGCTTAGCTTATTTCTTCAATATCTAATGACTCAAAATCACTTTCTGAATTGAATACTAGTCTGTACACAATAGAAACAGCTCTTTATATCGGATAATATTACATCCTCTATTTAATATTAATATTTCTATGGAAAATTCAGGGTTTTTTCTATAGCTTCCCTGTCATGTGATCCAGTGATTATCAGAAAGTAATACAAACAAGGCTACACAGGACACATGTTTTACTAATCGTCATCATTGAGCACATTTCAAGTATTACTTGCACAAAGGACATTTCCAATATCCTGTCTCTGCCTTTTTAAAGTCTCTGCTGTCCATTGCCAGACACTGGGCATGGTACCATCGCTCACAGTCATCACACTGAATCTGTTGAAGTGAAAGAAATAATGTATTTATATATTTGTAGCTTAGATTACCATTCAGTTGTCTTAATACTCAAGTGTTAGTGAGGAATCAGCTGACACAATCATCTGGTCCTTAAAACCCACTGCCTGTGTTTTAACATGCTCTTGTTTTGTTTTTGTTTTTTTGTTTTATTGTTCTGACTTTTAAATTGTTTTATTTAAGTATTCCAGTAATGTGTGTTGCATGTTTTAAATGTATTGTATTTACTTGTTTAAAATTAAATGTGTTTTAGGTTGACTTTTAAAATCTGTCCAGGGACTATAGATGAAAAATAGCCTCTTGGCTAACTCTGGCACATTTACAGAGATGTTAATTAATGTGCACTGTCCCTGTTAAATAAATGAATACATTAAAAAATAAATGTAGACATCACAATTCCACATTTTCTTCACAACAGCTCACCCAGTTTGTGATGGGAGATCCAGATCCTGGAGGCCTTAAGGCAGCACACATAGCACAATAAGTGTGCTCATCAAGGACTGAAACAAGATAACAATACATGTATGTCAGCTTCTATATACATACATATACATACATATATATATATATATATATATATATATATATATATATACATACATACAGACACACATATACATACATACACATATAGCAGGTCTCCCTTGAAAAAGAGGTCAATGATCTCAATGGGATACAACCTGAATAAATAAAGGTTTGAAATGAAATGAAATACATATATTCATATTTATTTACCTGATGCCTCAAGGATTTCGAGAGCCAGTTCTATCCTCTCCTGTTTCATGTATTTCTTCGAACACTCGAAATTCACATTCGGGATCAGAGGGAAGGACTCCATGACTGCCTTTGCCATCTAAACAAACAACACTTATGTTATGGAGGTTTTTTCTTCTTTATTGTATAGTAATACAGATACAGACAAAAACATGAGACACATTATAGAAGACATCCACCCTTGACTAGAATGCCTCCCAAAACTTTTCATTATTGATATAGACCGGTCCTATTATTGGAATTTTGAGATATTCGGAAGCGAAGTTTTGTCAATGAAACTTTCTGTGTTCAAGTGAATACTACATTAGTGTTAAATAACTGTTAATTTAAGTTCAGCAATGTTGTGTCATAATCCAATTGTTGTCAGTTGTGAAAAATACAATAAACAACAACATGATATCGGCATTATACTGTATATTGTCCATTGGCCAACCTGCCTGCTAAATATTATGGCGATCAGCATCGGCCTTTAAAAAACCCTTATCGGTCGACCACTACTTTGACAGATTTTTTAATCCGTCCTTGCATTAAACTGTCTTTCACATTAAAAACTCTGCTTGTTAACTGGATGAAAACAGAATATCTTCAGCTCACCTTCACAACAACGACACCACAGCTACATCCATCCTTTTGAAGTGGGTGGCCCATAACGCCTCCCTTCCACTTAACATCCACCCAGTCTGTTATGCTGTGGCGTGTCCTCCTCATCTTGAAGTACTCCCTGAGAAAGGATAATGTTAACACACTTTATATTTCTAATTATGTGGCACCTAAAGATAATGTAACAGACATTTATACTGTTTGTATTCACCATATGACCATTTATTTATATAAGGGTCAGCTATAGATATCACTGTCTGAACACAGACTGTATCAGACTGTTTAAAATGCTTTCAATGCTGTTTGTGAGTATGAATGTAACTAAATGTGACACATTTTTTACGTTTAAATATAGTTTTTACTTGAATTTTCAAATATCTATTGAATTTTTATTTACTGTATTCTTTTGGCAGCATGTTCGGAGTCATCAAGCTCTTTGATGCTTTGAGCTGGATCCACCAGGAATACGGTGCTGGTTTTGGCATGAATGTACTGTGAGAGAACAAAAAAAGTAAAAGCACTTTTCATCAAAAAAGATTTTTGGTTTCACTATGTAAGTCTTGTGCTTTAACAGAAATAATACAATAACAAAAATAATTACAAACCAGCAACTTCCAGTGGTTGTTGTTGACAAGTACAAAGGACAGGACAGCTTCATAGTTGTCAAAGTTTACCTATAATGGCATCAAATAAAGGATTAAAACAAACTTGAAGGCTAAGGTAAAAATAACAACAACATTAGTCTGACAATTATGTTCTT